AATGAGAATAATAAAGAAAGGCATAATATATAAAAGTACCCTTTAATATAGATTCAAATGGCATCTACGCTCTTCAATTTTGAGTGTACACAAGTATAGCTAAATTTGTATAACAATACACAAGTATACACACATGTCCTACGTGGCAATTTCCATCTTATGTGGCGTCCTACATGTATTATGTCACATAGGGCATGTGTGTCTACTTGTGTACACATAAGATTGGATGACATAAATATCAATTAATACTATCATACATTAGCAATCAATGCCCACAATCAATGGTGAATTGGAGCTCTTCAAGCCAAACCCTAGCTTTCTCTGTCCTTAGTTCTTGAGGGAAATTTTGGGGTGATCTTGGAGGGGATTTAGGGATTTTAGAAGAATGATTTATAATGGGTAGTTTTTAGGCTTAAAAGACTTATATAGGGCTTAGGATTAAGATCAAAGTGACTTAGTTTAGGTATTAATCGATTAGGGGAAAGACTTAAAAGCCCTTAAAAATAATTGTCAATCCATTCCTACGTACGGTTTGTAGGTCCTTAATTCTACGGACCGTTCTGGTCAACAATAGAAATGATCAGAGACTATTACTTTAGACCAACTTTTGACGGTATTCATGTACGGCTCGTAGGTCTACCTACGATCCGTACAAGACAACCAAAGAAACCAACCTTAAATTTTAAAATTTTACGTAGTTTGGGGGTAACCTATGAGACCTATCTACGACTTGTACGTGGGAGGATGGGCCATCCTAATAAATCGTATAAAGGCAACTGAGACTTGTTTTGAAAAAAAATTAATTTCTCCATTCCTACGGTTACCACCTTCGGCCCGTAGAAGCTTCTACGGTCCGTAGATGGGAACTATAGACACAACATGCAACCCAAAAACTCAGTTTCTCTCTTTTCCAAATTCTGAGGTGTTACATTTGATTTGTAAGCATTTTCTTATTGGTTAAACCGAACTGTTATGGACCAAAACCGATAAAAATTATCTTATTGGTTTGATTATTGGTTCAGAACTTTTAAAAACTGAAAACCGAACCGATCAATGCACACCCTTATCTAGAAACTAAAGAATCCTCATTTTGTAACAATGTTGTTATATAGAGGTTTGACAATCTCCAATCTGAAATTTATATATTTAAAAATAAAATTTGAAGTCCAATCCTTAATCCAAAACAAATATCCAAGATTTCCAATTTTATAGAGAGATTTGACGGTACATGAAACCTCATCATAAGCTTAATTTGATGTTAAGTAAAGCGTTAAGGTTAGGCTGTTAGGCAGAGTTGTAGTTGGAGTTTGTCACGGAACCACTCACATTCTTGTGGCATGTGTGATGAAAAAATTTAACATGCATAATTTGTTGGAAAACTATATGCATAGCGAAAGCATACTAGAATCTTACTGCTTACATGAATAATAGATAACCAAATCGTTTATGCTAGAACACATATAATATGCCAGAACACATTAAACTTACATAAATTTAATTGAAGAATTACCTCTTGAAGCGTGAGCAAATACGTTCAAGCAAATCCCCAAGATATATAAACCTTCAAGCAACTCTACAAGCTAGACAACAGCTATGGTCTTGTACAATGATCCTAAGTTCACATTCGAACTCTCTCAATACTTGGGTGGGCAAGTATCGAATAGAAAACTAAAATCTCTTTTTCTAGGTTAGGAGAATTTATATTTATAGAGATTTCTTCCTAATCCAAAAAGGAGAAGAAAACCCAACTTTCTTGAAAAACTAGAAAATCACGTTTCTTTCCCTTTTCCCTAAGAAAATAGGATTCCGAGTTCTAGTTAAATATGGGCACTATAGGGACCACAAAATAGGATTCTGAATTTTAAGTTAAATATGGACACTGTATGGACCACAAAATTAATTATAGAGGCTTCCTATTATGAAAATAATTCCAAATAATTAATTTGAATTATTCTTACCATAATAAATTACAAATCATTCCACTAGAAATTCGTAATTGCACTCCTTTATTTATGTTTCAAAATTCTCCATAAAACACTTATGTAATTCTCCATGTTAAGATTACAGTTACTAATCAATAAATTAAATTACTGACGAATTTAATTCAATGATTAATTTCCTTTAGAGCAACACTTAACTTATTTCATGTGCCAGATTCATAAATCTACCGGCCGGGTTTACACATGAAAACTTATAAGTTTCTCATAAAAAGGTGTATCATCAATTTATATAGAGAGACATGGATTCCATCAACTAACTTATAATTTCACCAATATATATTATTATCATCCAATCTACCAGGCATATTGACTCATCTCAAAATCTCACCTTTTAATAAATCGAAACGATAATTAATATATACAGATCGTAATAGTTATATCAAGATTAAGAATATAAGTACATTTAATAGTTTAGAGAATATTTTTTGACAGCCAGTCTAAAAGAACTATCTCTACTTGGTCCCGTTCAATGCATACAAAATGCACTAGCACAAGAAGTTGGAACTATACCGTTCTCATAATCAAGTAAATTGCATATAATCTTGTGCTATAATCGTACCGATGGCATGTCCAATTTCCATCCTAGATTGTGAACAAAAAATTTTATACTTATAAGAGGCGATGATTTAATCCTTTGTGTATAAGCTAAAAATCTACACACTAAATCATCTACTATATAAGTAAACAGACACCACAAACGAATATATGATCTATTAAAACTGAGCAAATATTTATTCTATAATAAATATTATATCTTAACATATGGTTAATAGTATATATCCCAACATAACTAAGCCTATATTCTTTACGTTTGATCTTACAAAGAGAAAATGACCAAAAGCCCCCCCAAACTATAGCCGGATTCCCAACTACACACTCATACTTTACGGGGGTCCTATTACCCCCCTGAACCATTTTTTTTTACTAATTTTCTCACCCTTATTTGCTGACATGTCCAAGAAGGTGAGATCAACTCCCTTGGCGCGTCAGAACAAAAAATAAAACGTTAAAAGCTGAAGAAAACTACACGTGTGAGTCCAAATTAGCTATATTAAATCTCCAATGGTATAATCTCATCTCTCCTTTTCTTCCTTTTTTTCTCAATTCTTCTAATAGTTGACAAATCTCCAACGGTATATTCCTTCATTCTCTCCCAAATCAGCTTAAAACTTGAATTTACTTGTCAAAGCATTCAACTGTAGTTTCAATTTCGAAAAAGCTTGAAGCTTTAGGACTTGTAATTTCTCTGATTTCATAGTTATGGTTCAAAAAATTTCTTCAATGGAATGCTATTATACCAAAACCCAGTTATTGCTCTTCATTTTTTTGTCAATTTCATAACCCTAATCAAACACAATAATCAATATCGTTCAAAATCGCTAGTAAAGAACTAAAAGAACTAACCTTTACTTAGAGAAAACTTCGACCCAACAAACGAAAAAAGCTAAACGAACCTTCCCCAACCTTCCCAGCAAACTTCGATTGGAACGAAATCTCAGATCGAAGAGAATGGGGTGAATTTGGTCAGATCGAAAAAAGGTTAGGGTTTAGAGAAAGAAAGAGGAAAATGAAAAGATTAAAGGAAATTCGTGGGTTCTGGGGTCCAGTCATTATGTGGCAGCGCGTGTAAACAAACATTTAATTATATCTGGTTTATGTGGACACCTCAGCAAATAAGGGTGAGAAAATTAGGAAAAAAAAATGTTGAGGGGGGCAATAGGACCCCCGTAAAGTATGAGTGTGTAGTTGGAAATCCGGCTATAGGTTAGGGGGGGCTTTTGACCATTTTCTCATCTTACAAATAAAGAATAAGAATCATCTGCATTCGTACAAAAGTAGTTGAAGTAAAGATATGAAACAACAAAAAGAGATTTGAAAGTTTAAACATTATCCTATCTAAGCAAGAACTTGAAAAAGATGAAGAGGGGCCGAATTTGAAAATAATAAATAAATAAAGTGGAACTATTAACATTCTTGATAAATTATCACTAATGATGCAAAAAACAATGGGAATAATAAAAAGGCAATATATATATATATATATATATATAAGTACCCTTTAATATGGATTCAAATGACATCTACGCTCTTTAATTTTGAGTGTACACAGTATAGTTAAATTTGTATAACACTAAACAAGTATACACACATGTCCTACGTGGCAGTTCACATCTTATAAAGTGTCCTACATGTATTATGCCACTACGATGTGTGTGTCTATGTACCACAAAATTGAATGACATAAATATCAGTTAAGACCATGACACATTTATATATTATACCAAATAGTAGAAAGGTAGTCCATAACTTCATCATAACATAAAAAGATTCTCTTTAGATGGTCCCGAAGTTAAAGAATCTATAAATATATGCATTCAAGTATATTTTTCCTTGTGCAATTTTTCAACATTTACCTTTATTCCCGTTATGAAAACAAGTTCAATTTGAAACCTTTTAAGTTATATCTTTAGCCTTAAGAATCTTTCTTTTCACAATATCTGTCTATAAATATTTACACATTAATTCCATCATATAACATACATACAAGTGTGATTAAAACTATGGCTATTATACTTGCAATTTTCCTGATATATACTCTTGGATTCACAACTTACCACCAATTTCTAAATGGAAAACAGACTCTATTTCAATTTGCATTTCTCCTTCATGTTCATCTCAACCTTCCCTCAAACTCTCAATAGCTAAAAATTACCATTTTTCCATCGTCGCGGATTATAATTTTCCTATTTCCCTATGAACCTCAAAGCCGTTAAGAATCAAATACAATACAACAAAATTATTAGACGACGAATCAGTATTCAGTCTCTTCATCAATTCGGTCCATGATGTACTTATGGTCCGAATAAAAATTATAACTCGTTGTTCCTCAAGATCCCATGAATTGATTTTAACAACTCCGATTTTAAGGAAATTTTCAATTTCTCATTTCTTACTTTGGCTTTCTTAATTTGTATCTATGAAGCCCCTGCTGATCTTAGGTCCACATGTATTGTTGCCCTGAAGAATCCATTTTCATGTTCTCAATCTAGACAAGCATCAAAATTGCTCGTGAGGAATTTGGGATCGAATACTGAAGACCAAATCTAGCGGTAACTAATTGGATCCTGGGAATAATTTTTTCTTCAAATCATAATGATCATGCGATGAAAACACCATGTCCATTGTTTTTATACTCATTTTCGACACAGGGGCTATGGAAAGTTCAGCTGTATTGCCCTGTTATTGCAATGGATGTCGAAACATCTACTGATGAAAGTTTGAGGTTTTCACTCAACTTTGATCAGCTTGAAGGAGTGATCCAATTAAATCATAGAGTTATTGTTCGAGAAAAGTGGATTGAAGTAATGGTGAACACCGATAACATTAGGTACATTTGTCTTCTTTGAAATATTTTTGGCATAAAACTAGCTTATACGCTCTTCTTGAGTTTTTTACACGTTTGATGCTTATAAACACAAATCAGCAAGATTTCTAATTATGTTATTCCGAATATTTTTCGAAAAATCCAAATACCTTTTCCATGACCAAACCCTTAACTCCATCTCCGTCTCCATCAATTTTTTGTCGTTTGTCCTTTTTCATAGTAAAGATATTCTTATTCTCATCATGCTTTTGCAGAAACGGGCCAAAAATGCTCTTGAACTTTAGTAAATAGGATGAAAATGACTTCGGTTTGGTTTTTGGTCCAAAATTACCACTGAACTGTTAGAAATAGGACAAAAATGTCCTCGTGGTTAGTAAATTGGCCCAATAATGCCCCTATCTCATTAAGTGCATTTCAGTTATTTTAACTGAATAGCTTGTAACACTCTTTTACTAAACACACACTTATTTATTATACAGAAAAGGCTTAAATATGCCACCGAACTTTGAGAAAAGGTTCATGTATGTTAACTGTTAAAAATTTGACTCATTTATGTCATTTTCATTTGAGAAAAGGTTCAAATCAACTGTTGGACACTTAAAAAGTGATTCTCAACACTAGATGCTTATGGATTACTTTTAATCAGCTAATCCAAGCACGATCTAATCTAATTTGTGTGAACAACCATAATCGCAATTTCTTAGGGAAAAAGAACCTACAGATGTGAAAAATATTTATCGACTACTTTTAATCTCCTAATTCAAATCAACTATAATATGACTAAACAACCATAATTATAAACTTTTAGGGGGGGGGGGGGAAGAGAAAGAACTAAGTGTGAATTTTAACTTGATTTAAAAATGTATGTTCATGTAGGTGTGATGTTGTTAGGCTAGTGAATGAATCACTAATGGCAGAGAGAGGAGCAGGGGTATCAAAGAAGCATTTCCCTTCAAGAATCTCATTGCAACTAACTCCAACACTTCAATCCAATGTGTTGAGTATTCCAGTAAACAAGTCCTCTAACAATCCCTTAAGAGAAATTGGCAACGAAAAGGCCATTGAAGCAGGATTCGATCCACTAAACACTTACATAGGCTTAAAAGTCTCCACGGGAGAGACAGTTGTTGCGACTATGAAGCCGTGGAAATTTGAGCAATCTGTTAATGGGGATGGTGCAAATTTAAATTGGTTTCTTCATGATAGTGGAAATGGAAGAGAGGTATTTTCGTCTAAGCCTTGTGTTTTTTCATTAATTCAGCCAAAAACTTGGTTCAAGAACAGATATTCAAGTGTTAATAGGTCTTTTACTAAGCAAGGAGGGGTAATTTTTGCTGGAGATGAGTATGGGGATAGTGTGTGTTGGAAAGTGGACAAAAGGGAAAACAATGGAATGGGACTTGAAAGGGAGACTTTGGTTAACATATTGGCCAAATAAACATATAACTCCTTATGCTGAGACTAGGAGATTGGAATGTAGACAAGTGCATAGTTATATTTGTTGTAATTGATTATATTTTGATAAATTGTCTATGTTACATCTTCTTCTTCAAGTGTGTATAGGCTGCTTAACCTACATGAATGTGGGATGCTTAATCTGTTGAGCTGGCCTTTTTATTGATTATCAAAATGTATTTGTGTGTTGTATAGTTATATTTGTTGTATTGATTATCAAAATGATGCTTGCGTCTAAGGTAAGTAGGTTGTCTACGTCACAACCTTTGAGGTTCCTTAGGACTAAACTGAAAACATCAAGGTAAATAACACGAGATTTACCATCGAAAACCTCCTTGCTCAAGGGAGTTAAAACACGACCTAAAAGGTGTAGAATTTCAGCAACTTTCACTAACTTCAAGGAGCGGTTTCAGATTACAACTCTATATTACAGATCTCATTTGGCCAGGTTACTCTACCCTTACACATATTATAGATAACACCCTTAACCTTATCAACCTTAATACACCTACAACACCCAAAATTGTGATGCCTCTTTGATTGCTCCAACTCCCCCAACACAATGTCCATTCCCCCGCTTCGTTCAAGGGTTTATGGAAATATAATTGTCACCTCTGTCTAATGAGTGTCTCCTCCACCAAAACCTTGTCATTGTCATCCTTTAATATTGAACTTCACTTAGTCCAGGTCACATGCCCTCCATTCTCTCGCCTTGTCTGGCCTGTACAACCCTTTATCCCCGTCATTGTCCTCTAATCCAACATACATGGGTTCAAAAGTTGCTGTCTTTACCATCGTAACTGCTAACTTCACCTCCTACTTTGCAACTTTATACTTTTCCACATTTGTTCACTTTTCCTCCTCTCATCCTTGTTTTCCACCAACTTCGCTTACGCTACCTTTTTAACCTCTACCTTTCATTGGACTTCTCCATCCCATCACCATCTCCTCGAGATCATCCCTGATCTACCTCACGAGCCCCCCATCACCTCGAGAAGTACTACACTTTTGTAACATATTCTCTTCCCATCCTTTATTTTGGTCTATGAGTACATGGAAAAAGGAAAGAAAAAGGCTTCATATAATATGAAACAAGTTTTATTTGTCACAAATGGATTAGAGTATGCTTCTTTGTTTGCAACATTCAATAGCTCCATCATACATTTCCTCAAGACCATTCTTGTACTTGAATCCAGTCTCCAAAAGCTTTTTGGATGAAAATCTAGGGAATTTAACTTCTTCACTACTTGCCCATGTGTACCTGCAAATTCATAGTAAATTAAATCAAGTATATTTTTTTCCATCTTTAATTTCCAGAATAAACATTTACTAATTAGACTCATAATACCTAGATATAGGAAATGAAATGTATTCCCTAGAAATTCTTTTTTTTTTTTCGCTTCCTTAATGACTCCAACCCACGAGTTGGAGGTAGAGAGTACTTACCATCTGAACAACCTCTCTTGTCATAAATTGAAATATGTATATCGCATTCTTTTGAATACTCAAAATTAGAAAGAAAAAAAATGTATATAAGATAGCATAGGTCATACAGTTAACTTTTTCCTGAGTACATTATATTTTAACAGTTAATTTAAGAAAGATGATAGTACCATAATAGGGCAACTAGAAAGAAAAGAAAGACTCAATATTTAAATTAACAAGTTCAAATTTTCTTATTTCCTTATGTTATAAATAAAAGAATCAACAATATTAAAGATAAGGCAAGTATTTATACTTGCTCATTAATTTGTTTTCGAAATTCAGGATATCTTGTCAACAGAAACTCAGCTAGCTTTTCGCATGCTATTCAACAGCTGAATAAATATATCTTCCTTTTGCATTAGGATTTTCAAGAAGGAATATGTGAGCATTTGTCACATCATCTATATGTACAAAAGGTACATATGGAGGATAACTCATGTTATAATTTTGATGACCTGCACAAATTTTCAATTACGAAGAACATATATAAGTTGAGAAAATGTGAATTGATGATGTTGGATTATATTTTAAGACATACCAAGAATAATTTCCATGGATGAAATAACAGAGCCGGGAATTTGAGGAGTAATAAAGGGGCATGTATCCAAGTTGGGATTACAGTCACAAGATCGATACCATTTTTTTCAGCAAATTCCAAAGCTGCCTTTTCTGTTAATGTCTTACTAATCGTGTAAGAACTTGCAAAATTCTTTAAAGCTCTTACAATGTCTACGTTTGTCCATGAGTTTTCATCTACTATGTCTGTTGAATTCTCAACCATAATCGTAGTTGAACTAGAAGTGTATACAACACGTTTGTCTTTAAATTAAGACATGCGTGTAAAATACCTACAGTCCCATTGATAGATCTTTGTGTTATTGTTTCTTCACTTTCTTTGTTCTCAAAATCAACTGGATGTGCAACATGAAATACTCCAATGCATCCTTCAATTGCTGCATTGAAACCCTCTGGTTTGTCTAAATCAACGTTAAAAATGTGTAGTCTTTCTTGAGCATCTGGAAGATTCGTGACTAGCTCACATCCTTCTTGCTATCTAGCAATGAAAAATAAAGAGAAAATTCATCGTCATATATTTAAACCATATTTATTTGGCGAAATGGCCTACTGGACCCCTAAACTTGCACTACTTCGTCTAACCTTAATCGTGCTTATGTGGAAACAACAACAGCATATCCAGTGAAACCCCACAAATGGGATTTAGGGAGAATAGAATATACGCAGATTTTACCACTGCCTCGTGAAGATAGAAAGGTTGTTTCCGAAAGACCCTTAGAAATGACGTGATATATGAGGAAACTTTCATTGCAACACCTCAATTTAAACTTGCAGTTTTTGTATTCTAGGTGTTTTCATGATCCTCACAGATGCAGGGACTCGGTCCCTAGCAAAATGCTCTCGTCCAGGTTCAAGATGGTGTACAACTGTAAAGCTGTCTTGTCAGGTTGGTTGGTGAAAAGCGCATCGTACTTCACCAATATGAAGGGCGAACGAGGTTGTTTGTTTCAGCGGTCAAAACTCTTGTTGGTGATTGATATTTAAAACAATAAACAAACTAACATTATTCATTCAAAAAGAGAGAGAATTAGCAAGTCTTTTCAAGAACTCATGCATCAAAGAACACACTATAAGGGACTTGGTCCCGGATAGACTGCGTACACGGAAAAGTCAAAAGACAACTATCTAAAAGTTATCACATTTGACATGGTTGGTGCACAACTTTTCAGAGTAGCAGGCTCTCAGCCAATGGCCTTGTCCGAAGGGTTTGTGTCCATTTCGATATAGTCTCTTCTCCGAAGACACAACTCAAGATTTGGCAAACAAAGTTTTGAATTTCTGAAAATTCATAAGCTCAAAAAGAAGAAGCCGTCTTCAAGGAAGAACACGTACTACTCATACTAAACGAAGGACTTGATGGAGTGCTGAAGCGTCGTTGTTGTATTTTGAGCTTTGTGTCTTATGTGCTTATATTGTAAATCTACTCCTAAGTTATAAAGGATAGTAGATCGGTTGCTTGTCTAAGTCTTTAGTTTGAGTCGTATTAACTAGAGTTAGTTAGTCGAATCATCTATGTTTTAGTCAAGCTTTTTACATTATTGTTTTGATGTGATCTCTTGGGTAGAGTTTCCTAGGAGTGTCAACTAGAGTTAGTTGATGTTTGGGTGCAACAGATTTGCTTCTTGTTTAGCTCTCATCGTTGAGGTCGGAGTTGGTAGATAGAGTTAGCCTTGTTGGGTTCTTAAAGTGTAGATCAACTAGAGTTAGTTGATTTTTGTGGGCAATAGAGTTATTGCTTAGTTTTCCTTTGTAGTAGAGTTGCCACAGTAAGGGGGAAGGGATTAAAGAGTTTGAAATCCTAGCTTGCAAGAGTTTGTGATCTAAAACTTTGCTCCGTTTGAATGAAATGGAGTTTGGGTTGAAATCTTGTGAGTACAGGTCCTGGTTTTCACCGCCCTTGAGCAAGAGGGTTTCCATGTAAAATCATTGTGCCTGGTCTACTTTGAGCTATTTATTTTCTGCACTATTATTCTATCTAGGGACCTGGTCCTGTGATCACTGGTGGACGCATACATTCTAACAACAGTACTGTGGGGAAAATGGAGAAGTTCAGGTAGAGTCAGAATTAGGATTTTCACTAAAATATTTAAAATATGAGGAAGAAGTTAGAGTGGTTCAACATCTATTATATATAAATAAAAAATAATTTTAAACATATATAAATAATGTAATTTTTTACCGTAACATATTTGAAGCTTGTTGGTGTTTTCATGTTTGTTCATTTTATTTTCAACCATAATTTATACAATATCTGATATATTCACAAACAGAGCCCTACTTGGCTCTGCCCCAGGCAAAATCAAAACGTCTGTTGGTAAGAATTAAGGCAAAATCTCATAAATTATATTATTTTGCCTTTTCTTCCACTAAGGACTAAAAATGATGTACATGTTCACATAGAGAAGAAGTAAAAGAAAGCAAATTCAAGTATTGTAAATTGTAATAGTAACAAACCTGGATGAGACCTAATTGTGGTGTTAACATAATAACCAAATTGAAGGAGTCTCATAACCATCCATGATCCAACATAACCACTTCCTCCTGTACTTACACATACCTTACTTACACATACCTTTCCCTTCTTCCATATCCCCTCTACTCATCTCTTCTTTCTTCTCCTCCTCTTTATATAGTGAAACTATCAAGTGGTTATATGTTGTTAATTGAGTTTCTTTTTTCCCGGATATATATAAATGGAATAACAATAACATCCTATAAACGGAGTTTGGGAGGTTAGAATGTAAGCAGACTTTATGAAGTAAGAATGAAACAATGCAATTTTTTAATAAAAAAATATAATATTTTCGCTGTTCATCACTTTTACTTGTTCACTATTCTAAAAAATAGATTTTTATTTTTACTTGTCACTTTTAAAAATCAAGAAAAAATAATTATTTTTTCCATGTTTTACCCATAGCATTGATTACTTATTCCCCAAATTATTTTTCAAGACCTAATA